TGCATATACTGTATGTCCTGCATCGTGCAGCTGTGAAGGATTGTGTACAAACTGATACTGTGTCAGTATGGTATAGCTATATTTATACTTCTCATCCAACCACAAATAAATTCACTATTCAGGAGGTGCAGTTTATCAGGATAGTATTTTTTACAATAACAAGCTAAAATGAAATAGGACTAACAACTTTCTACTTCTTACCTTTTATAAACATGTAAGAAGTAGAAAGCACAGTAAGTAGTAGAAGTAAAAAGAAAACTAAAATCATTACTCAAGTAAAGTAGAGATAACCAAAAATTTTACCTAACGTAGTATTTGTACTTAGTTATATAATTCTGATTGTAATCATATTCAAGTCTCACAATAAAAATTTTTTTGCAATTTTTTAAAGATCTCATGCCATCAGTTAGTGCTTGGAGTATGTTGCTGAAATGATCAGCTACTGCCTCATTCAGTTTTAACTATAGCAGTTTTGTGCTCGCTAAGGATTATCTGTAGCCTTCTTGAATTGGGTGGACTCCAAAAGTTGGTGAGTTGTATGGTCTACTGGGGTGATCGGGTCTGTCCTGGGGTCCAGGCTGCATGGTCCACAGGGTCTTTGGTTGTCCCAGGCTGCTCCTTGTTCGGGTCTTTTCAGTTGAAGCTCCTAAACTGTAGAACCACTGGTGGGCAGCACTATTCTAATTATCAGTTGCACTAACCCTAAAGCACTAACTCAAATATTTAGGTCCCCTAATTCTAAAGCACTAACACACTGAAAATTTTAGCAAAAGCTAATTCTAAAGCACTAAAATAACCCAGTAGACACATGAAACACTCTTCAGTCAACATGAATATTTACTGTGTGCAGAATGTTGTCATTTAGTGCCCTTGGCGGGCCTAATGGGAGTCACCTGCAGGCCACATATGGCCCGCGGGCCTTGAGTTTGACATGTGACCTTGTAGATAAGTGACAGCTTTCACCCTCAACTGTGAGCAATGATATTGATCAATAACATTTAAAGACCTCAGTTAGTGCTTTTAAATTTAACCAGTTTTAATTCACCAACGAATTTTAAAGTTAGTAAAATCCTTAAAGCACTAATCAAGAAATTAGTTCCCCTATTAGTGCTTTAGGGGAACTGTGCCCACCACTGTGTAGAACCAACTGCCCCTCTAATTTGTCCCACACCAGCATCAGACCTTTCTTCCCCATAGGTTTAATGGTTTTATTTTACCTCTCATCATATTTAACCCCTTTATTTGTTATTGTTATGATTTCTTGTGTTCAGTACTATCCTTTATATTTATATTGTTTACAGCCCTTTGGCCAATGACGTTCAAATGTGCTACACATAAAATAGATTTAAAGTTCTTTTTTAATTTTTCAAAACAAAAACAAACAATCTGTGGGTAAACCAGATTCACATCAGTTTAAAACATGTTTGATTTCAGTTCAGTTTAATCTCCCAACTCTTCCCCTTTGCTGGAGGTTGTCTGTGCAAGCTTGATGTAAATCTGAAAGTGCCTGGAGCCCATGTAGCCCCCGAAGGCGGCCTGAATGACGATGACTGGCATCATTTTCCTGAAGATCGGTTTGGAGACGTCCATGCAGTAGCGCATAATGTTGCCCTTCTGGGGCAGGGGGGCCGAGCTGTACCTGGCCGCGAGCCCGAGGTTGGCAGGCAGAGCCAGGACGATGGGGTAGAGTCCACCAAAGACCACTCCGATGAGCGCGCCGCGGATCACTGAGCAGCTCGGACAGTTGAGGTCTCCGGCCAGCAGCGGGTTGCTGATAACCACCTGGTACATAGCGGTGGTGGTCAGGAAGGGCAGCACCAGCATCGGCAGGCTGGAGGACAAGCGGGCCTCCTGCACGTTCAGAACCCTCCGATACAGGCTGTTGGAGATCAGGCCCGCGAGCCCGGCGTTTCCTGCCAGGTACAGCGGTGCATACGTGAAGAATTTCTGATCACCCTCCGGCAGCTTCTCGAAATTCTTCATCAACATTTCGGCGATCATGGTCCGCGTGACCGATTGGCGAGGCTCGCCGCTCTGCTCCGTGTTTTCGATCATCTCTGGAGAAAGAGTTGCAGCAAAAATACCGGTTAGAAAAAGCTCGGTGTAATAACATGTAGTTCAACCAGGCACATTCTAATGTCAGAGCAATGACGGGGCGACGCCATGCAATTTACCCAGAATTCATTGTTTTCTTCTTCTTCTTGTTTTTTTTTTTTTTTTTGGCGGTTGGCAAACAACGTTAAGGTGCATTACTGCCATCTACTGATGTGGAG